AGCTGAAGAGTCATACACAGAAATGATCCGATAAGCCATAGCATCAAAATTTGACCGGCAAACCCTCATGCCATACACGATCAAAGATCTTAGAAATATCAAGCGCAACAGCTATTGATTCTCCATGTTTCTCGATTGCCTTATTTCAAATATAGGTGACATACGATAGAAGGTGATTTTTGTTGTTTTATATAACTAATAGCAAAGCGACTGGTCTATAGTCATTTGGAAGATTTTTCTTGTCATTTTTGGGAATAGGCTGAACGCGAGCAAACTTTCAACAAGAAGGAAAAACCCCTTTCTTGTAAGACAAGTTGAAAAGTCTGCAAAGTACTAATGCGAGTTCATTTGCGAACTTTTTAAGTACGATGACGGGCACTTCATCAGCGCCAGACGCCTTGTTGATATTGAGCTGTTTCAAAATTCGCCTGACTAAACGCTGTCGAAAAGTAATTTCCGGCATTGTGGATTTTAGTGTGGGAATAGTGAGTGGTGCCTTTCCCAGAAAATCGACTGTGATTTAATAAATGATGACCTAGGAATGATGGGATAACTGAGTTTATCGAAATTTATACCCACCACGGGATAACACTTTAAATAAAGTAATAATGCCACATGAAGTCACACACCATAAACAAAATAGCGGACTGTTCCATACAAAGTTTAAAAACGTTTCTTATTATCACAACTCAAGTTTATGTTTTTTCAAAATCAACAGAATTGCAGTTTTATTGTTGTTTTGCCCGTTTGGTGGAAATCCGTCCTAACATGTGAACGGGACGTTTTGATATCGGATTGAATTATTTTGGGAGTTTGTGACCCAAAAATACAGAAAAAACTGTTACAAACTTCTAACCCGAGATCGGGTGATGCAGTTGATATCAGGAGATCTATGTTGAAATATCTGTTGAAATTTATTTTTTCGTTACCAGCTGTCGCCTCCTTACGAACGACAACCCTCGGAAATCGTAATTCGTGCGAGCTGAAGATTAACGTGGTATCATTTTATAACGTGCAATTCCTAGCACACGTTGCAAGATATGCAGTGAAAATCTACCATCCGGACGTAGGGGTCGAACCACCCTTTCACAAATCCGTCGATTGAACGAATATGAAACTGAAACATGAATATCAACTACTGCTTCCAGACTCACAATTATTGAACATAGCGTAATTGAATTGATCTTTTCAATAAATTAACAGTGGTCAGTGGTCAGTGGTCAGCATAAATGAATTTAAAAATGAAATAAAGTTATCCATTCATATGGAACCTTATAATTTTGACGACTATACCAATTCCAGTTTTTTATTTTTTATTTATACGTTTACTTTTTATATTTACACTAGATTCGTGTTACTTGTAACTTCCTTTGACGTCATTTCATTCTATGTTGTTAATATGTTTCTTTAAATCTTTGGTATGTTCTGAAATAAAGATAATTATTGTAGAACTTGTGTTTAATTGGAGTTCTTATACCAATCCACCTGTAGGAAACCTTTTGCATCAAATTATTCAGTGACAATTGATGGTGCTAAAACATCCAATCCTAGATGAAGTCAGTCCAAACTGTTCGAATTATTTTGAAAACTGCAATTCACGAGTTTTTTCTTTCCATCATTAAAATATATTTTGATGTATATTCTAAACAGTATGCATGTATATTTTCTCTGCTTACTGAAACATCACGAAGTTCCAAAAAACTCTGACTAAATATTTCGCTTTTCTAGAATTCTAGAAACAATTTGTCGGATATTCTATAATAACCATTCCTGTATGGAAACCATGTTTGTTCTGATAGGCCAAGAATATATTCAACAGCGTGAAATTATATGAAATTATATTGTCTTGAGTACAAGGAAATTTATCAGATTCGACAAATTGATTTTATTTTGTAAACTGAACTCACCGAACCGAGGTCAGCATATTCAGGAGCCAGTGAATCCCCTCATGTTTTATTCCTTCATTTGGCAGAGAACCGAGAAAAACAATGAATTTTTTCGTCGCAGCCAAGTATAATATTCGGTATATCCTCTCAAAGAACAGGAGGGCTGGAAATATACACAAACTGTGGGAAATATTATTTTTCAGGATATTCACTCTTCTTTCTGCTATTTTTCAATGATAAGTTTATATTTGTTGTTTTCCTTGATAGTTGATCAACGTTTACTTTTATCGGTATTAACCTTCTCAATGAAGATAGTTTTTGCTGATCAGTTATTATTGATTATTTAGAAAGTCATTTTCAAAATTTTTAGTGAATCGAAAAGTTAAGCATGAGTGTTTCAGAAGTTTGCGAATAATCAAAAAACAACGGTTCAATTTTTTATTTTATAATCACAATAAGAGAATTCAAAACACTTGGAATCAGTTTGTGATGATATGAATTTTCAATAAGAATACGAAAAAATGATGAGAAATTAAATGAAGGTGCTTAGGTATTATAAAAGGCGTCTTTTAAATTTAACCGTACATTATTTCAGTATGTCGTTATTCACGCTCTATTCAAACTACGGTTGTTCAACTAATATCTTTGAATTGGAGATTTTCATCTGTGAGCACTCCAGATTTTTTAGTATGCTGAATGTCGGTAAATTATTCACTTTCATGAACTTTCCGTCTTGAACAACTTTATCAGAAATAATCCAAAGGCATTAAATCGGACGATCTGGGTGGGCAATAATAGATACTTCCAATCTCGTTTTATAACATTGAAATTTAACATTTGATTGATACATAGTTTTCCAGCAACTGGTCAATGCATCAGTGCGACATTTTGCAGGTCTGCAGGTCAGCAAATTGTTCTCAGTAGTTCTCAGTAATCTTGTAGGAGGACAGAAATTTTTACAGGTCGGGTCTGCCAAACATGAATCTCGATCAGGTTATTCATTTTCGACAAAAAAAATTTCAACCCCCACCCTTTGAGTATGGAAAAATTCCACATTTTTCATTAAATTGAAAATAAACCTTGCAGGTCGGCAGAAATTCTTGCAGGTCGGGTATGCCAAACATGAATCTCGATCAGGTTATTCATTTTCGACAAAAAAAATTTCAACACCCACCCTTTGAGTATGGAAAAATTCCACATTTTTCATTAAATTGAAATAAACCTTGCAGGTCGGCAGAAATTCTTGCAGGTTGAAAATGATTAACCTGATCGAGATTCATGTTTGGCATACCCGACCTGCAAGAATTTTTGCCGACCTGCAAGGTTTATTTTCAATTTAATGAAAAATGTGGAATTTTTCCATACTCAAAGGGTGGGGGTTGAAATTTTTTTTGTCAAAAATGATCAACCTGATCGAGATTCATGTTTGGCATACCCAATCTACAAGAATTTCCGCCGACCTGCAAAATTTATTTCCATTTTTTTGAGAATTGTGAAATTTCTGGGTGGGGGTTGGAAAATTTTTCTGTCGAAAATGATTAACCTGATCGAGATTCACGTTTGGCATACCCGACCTGCAAGAATTTCTGCCGACCTGCAAAGTTTATTTTCAATTTAATTAAAAATGTGGAATTTTTCCATACTCAAAGGGTGGGGGTTGAAATTTTTTTTGTCGAAAATGATCAACCTGGTCGAGATTCATGTTTGGCATACCCGACCTGCAAGAATTTCCGCCGACCTGCAAAATCTATTTCCAATTTTTTGAGAATTGTGAAATTTCTGGGTGGGGGTTGGAAATTTTTTCTGTCGAAAATGATCAACCTGATCGAGATTCATGTTTGGCATACCCGACCCGCAAGAATTTCTGCCGACCTGCAAGGTTTATTTTCAATTTAATGAAAAATGTGGAATTTTTCCATACTCAAAGGGTGGGGTTTGAAATTTTTTCTGTCGAAAATGATCAACCTGATCGAGATTCATGTTTGACATACCCGACCCGCAAGAATTTCTGCCGACCTGCAAAGTTTATTTTCAATTTAATGAGGAATGTAGAATTTTTCCATACTCAAATTTTTTTGTCGAAAATGATTAACCTGGTCGAGATTCATGTTTGGCATACCCGACCTGCAAGAATTTCTGCCGACCTGCAAGGTTTATTTTCAATTTAACAAAAAATGTGGAATTTTTCCATACTCAAAGGGTAGGGGTTGAAATTTTTTTTGTTGAAAATGATTAACCTGGTCGAGATTCATGTTTGGCATACCCGACCTGCAAGAATTTCCGCCGACCTGCAGAATTTGTTTCCAATTTTTTGAGAATTTTGAAATTGGAAAATTTTTCTGTCGAAAATGATTAACCTGATCGAGATTCATGTTTGGCATACCCGACCTGCAAAAATTTCTGCCGACCTGCAAAGTTTATTTTCAATTTAATGAGGAATGTGGAATTTTTCCATACTCAAAGGGTGGGGGTTGAAATTTTTTTTGTCGAAAATGATTAACCTGGTCGAGATTCATGTCTGGCAGACCCGACCTGCAAAAATTTCTGTCCTACAAGATTACGAGAGCAATGTCTACTGAGAACAATTTGCTGACCTGCAGACCTGCAAAATAGTTATACCTACCCGTGCGCCATTAATCATGAATTCGGATTTTCCTGTAAGAAAATATTTTCAGGCTCACCGAAATCTTGTATTGGTCCAGAAGTGTTAAAACTTCATAAAGAAACGATATCATTGCTCAAAAGTGATATTCAACCATAAACCGTCAAACTCTATAGTGTTTATATGGATCGTCTCTTACAACTTTTACTATGCACGTTACACTGCCATCTATTGAATGATGCTAAAACTGTTACGTCAAATTTAAATGTCGTTGTATAGTTTTCTGTAATTTATTTATTTCACACTCAACGACGTGCTGCCACCTGTGACAAAAATCATTTGTTTTATAATGTTTAACAAACAAATTAATTTTGTTGTTTATAAGAATTATGATATGAATCTAGACCCAAATAATGTTCATAAACGTTTTCATTCATCTCATGACACACCCATTCACAAATCATAAATTATACTTTTTATTGCCCAATTTACCGTTATTTCATTTTTCGGTTGGTTGTACTGGTCACACTGTCACTATTTTCTAACGAAGAACTTGCTGCTGTTGCGCAACTTGACAACTCGAATAAAATGGTGACGATTTTGTAAAAATAGTGTCTTCCCATCAAGTTATATTTCAAAACAGTTGAAGAATGTGTGATGATATTGAGTTTGCTTTGAAAGTTAACGGTGTTTCAGTTATTCTGGAAAATGTGTTGTGAAAATCAGCTGGTGGCCATTTTGTTTATAACTAGGAACATAAACATGGAAACGGACTTTTACTACAGAAATTAGCTTTTTCTTCTGTTCTTTAAGTGTTTGAGAAAATGGTCAACTCTACCTGAAAGTGAGTAAAATGGTTTAGCAACACTTTCAAGACTCTTGGAATTGTGTGAAAGTTCATCTAACATGGCGGTAGCATTTGTTATATTTTTGTTTCGTTTTTTTGGCGCCAACTGTCAGTTATTTAAATATCTGTAATGGTAATTTAAATATATTTTATTTTGTATTTCAGCTCTTTGAAATGGCAGGAAATGATGCTACAAGTTCAGAATTGTTTCCTGGATGGTCTTCTGTTGTCCACCAACCAGCTGATGAACTTGAGGAATCTGATTTGCCCAGTACTGTAGATATTACAGCATTCAGCACTGGCTTGAATGTGGAAATTGGAGCTACCAAACATGATGATGGAAACAGTGATTCAGAAAGTGATTCTGAAGCAGATTCTAGTGTAAGCCCTTACATCATATATTAATTTTCATTATTGAAACAGAAAAAACCAAACACTTATGTTTGCATTTTGGTCACTCATGAAAAAAGAAAATAATAAAAGGGGATTCATGTAGCAGTTATTGAATTGTAAAGGCTGATGTATAAATTAAGTAATTCTTCATTAATCATACTGTAATGTAATCACTAATCCAAAAACACAAATTTTAATTTTATAGATCTAACACAGTAACACTTTTTTAATTAAAATAAATAAAAATTCACTTTAGTGCCAATGACCGATTTCAAAATTGTTTATATTTCAGAATTCCTCGTTAAAAAGAGTCTTAATGGTCACAAATAATCTAACAAAAAATGAAATAGTCACACACAAAAAAATATCATTGTTAAGTACATGGAAAAAATTTTGTTTTCTTGAGAATGAAGTTATGAGAACAAGAAATTTTTGGAAAAGTAAATCTCAGCTAAGCTGAATCCATTGTCAACCTAACCTAAATCCTGATCATTCCCACAACTGCTGAGACTTCAAGTGTGGCGGCTAAAGTAAATATTAGCCTAAAAGACTAACTCTCTGCATGGCACAATTTCAATCACGTTTCTGTTTGAAAAATCTGTTTTTCTGTTAACCATTAACCAACAGTCGCTCCCTTCCGAACAACAACCCTCAAGAGTTGAAACTGATGCAAGCTAAGGATTGAAGAAGTTTCCATTTTTTAACGTGCGATCCCTAGCAAGGGTTGGATGGTACTCAGCGATATCGTTCGTCCTCACGCCAAGCTCAGACCACTATTTCTAGACCTTTTACCTGTGCTGTCTTACCTGCCTTTGTCATTACACCTGAATTATCATGTGCTAAGTTTTGCTTTTGGGGTTGTGCAGTCTGTTTGATTTTGTGAAGTGATAAGATGGATCTCCATATATTGCTGGTAATCTTTGTGTGTCATCCCTTTCGTTTTTCAATTTGGATAGCCTCTCTGATTGTTCGATAGTAGAAGTTTCCATTGCTTGCTTTTTGTGTTCTCGAAATTGATGTTGTGTCTTGTCACCAATACGTGTTGGAAGAGAGAAAGTCTTGTCACAGTCTTGACTTTGTAAACTCCTTTGGATTTGTTATCTGATCATTTGGATTACGGAGCAATGAGGTCCGTGCTAGGTGCTCAGAAAATCGTAGATAGGCAAAAAAAACTATTTTCAAAAAAGTTTATTGATGCTCTTACCCCTCTGTGCCTGTCATAATTACTTAACAGGGTAATGGAATGTTCCTGAAATTCTAGCAAATTGAAGTTTTTCGAGAAAATTGATGAATTTGGTTTGGTTCTGATATCGTAATGGTTGAGCTAGCATAATCCATTGATTTTTTTTATAAAATCGAGTAGAAAATCACTTGAAATTATCATTGTATCTCAATTCCTCACATAATTGAAGACAGAGTGTAATTGTCTGTGTAAAAAATGTCCAACAGGATAATGGGGTAGTCTGAAACAAGTCTAAACTTATTGGCATATTCAGAATTTACAAAAAGTGAAGGATTTCAATATGGTTCTATCAGATTAACCATTCAGTTTGCTTAATAGATGCAATTTCAAAAATTCTGTAGTCCAAACTGGTTCACTTGTAATAATGATTTAAGCCATATGTCGTGTACGTTGTCGTATCGAATAAGATAAAAGTAGTGTGATGAATAAGATATGCTCTATTTTTATTTTCAGAACTCTGGTACTGATGCATCTCAGTCAGGTAGTCAGTCTGATTCTTCAGACAGTGACAGTTCTACGTCAAGTCAGGAGTCATCATCACATAGTGGACGAAGTAGTCCGAGTCCCGAGTTTTCCGTTACTAGCTCTCAGACAGATGGCCTGCGACTAACAATTGCAACTGTTCGGAAACAAAGTCCATCTGGAGAAAAAAATATGAATAAACCAGTTGAACAGGTTAAAAATGCTAGCAAGTCTCCAACTTCCAGTTCAGACAGTGGTCCTTCAAGTGATTCTGAGAGTGAATCAGAAAAGAATAAATCTGGGTCAAAAAATGACAAAAAATCCGAGCCCGTTAAAAACGATGTTATATCTAGTAAAGTCGAAACTTCCCCAAACAAGATCAGTGTGAAAAATACAAAAGATGTCAGGCAAACCATTATGAAGACAAGAAGAAAAGTTGTGGAGAAAAAAGATGAGAAGGTTGTGAAGAATCTGAAGAAAGAGATTCAGTCACAAGGGGCTACTAAAAGCGGGAATGGAAAGGTTAGGCAGAGGCGTAGGACCAGAAAGGTAAGTTTTTTTGAATAATATTCTGTAGAATATATCAAAATTCACTTCAGCAATTCAAAATGTTTGGTTGAAAATCAAACTATGTCAGGGGCAGTGGTAGAGTGCCTTACCCACAATCTAAAAATTGTGGGTTGGGACCCAACTTCAACCAGAAAATATACTCAAAAAAAAGTTTCTATTTGAAGTTGGGTAGATTCTGCCACATTAAATGACTGATGAAACTAGGAATAGCTATAATGCTTCCTAGGTGGCTTGGGAAGTTATCAACATAACCTACCCAGAACACGATACTGATGATCACAGCAGATGATGCCAGATGAAACTTTTTTTCGTTAAGTGTTTTTTGATATTTGTGGAGATATTACGTGGTTATCCTGTTTTGTGTTATATATACTTTGATGGAGAAACAGTTTCTGGGTGGCAAAGTGAATGTGCATGAAAATTTTGAATACATGCGATATGCACTGAAACTTATTTCCCCAGAAATAAATTTTATATCTCGGTGGCGAAGTAAAATTTTTAGGTGGACAAACTTTTATTGCAAATATTTTATTTTATGGCGAATGTCCCAATGGCAGTTTCTTGCATAAGTTTGAAATATGAATATAAATCAACAACATATAACCCCAAGAATTTGTTTGTTGACTCGGAACTGATTCCAGAATGATCTAGAAAATCTTTATTCGAAATGCACCTGAAAGTTAAAATGGGAGTCTTTCATATATTGAAAAAGAATCTTCAATGTGGTTTCGAATGATCCAATGTTCCATAACCATACCTGTAGTATTGTGTAAGCTGTAAAGAATTCAGCACAGAATTTAGGTATACGAGTACATTGCCGTTGTGTGAAGTAATTGCTATCTCTATTTTAACCTCCATTTTAATTCTCAATTTTGGAAGTAAAATATCTCTGATATTTCAATTTCATGGTTAAGAGTCACAAACTGTAAAGAGTGAATGATGAACAGTAATCCCTGAAATATTCATTTTGGAAACATCTGGTGTACAGATGGGTATTCGTTAAGTGTTTTTTGATATTTGTGGAGATATTACGTGGTTATCCTGTTTTGTGTTATATATACTTTGATGGAGAAACAGTTTCTGGGTGGCAGAGGGAATATCAAAATATTGAGGACCTTCAACACAACATTGTTAGAGAGTTAAGAAGAGAGAAATTATTCGTGCAGTGAATAGTATTCGAAGAAGGGCACATTTGTGTTACCATGAACAAGGCCAGCATTTTGAGCATTTGCTGTGATTTACTTTTGTCTTTACATTTTAGTTAATTATTGTTATTTGTTAAAACTTCCATTTTAATTGAAAAGGACACAATGTCATTTATCAAATTTTAATTGTTGATTCTGTCTCCGTATTTTTTCATTAGCTTTTCAAACGAACCAAACTCGGCGAGATTTTTATTTAATAACTTGAACATAGTTCGATGTGGTTGTCGTCTTTCGGGATACAAGTTTAAATACATTTCCGATGTCCTAACACTGTTTATATCGTATTTGTAATGAATTTGCATGATATCTTTTTTTTTCTTCATTCGTGAAAGCCATTTTTAGCCAAAAACTCAATGACTTGTACAATAACAAAATGTCATCGAGGGTAACACATTGAAAGACAAATTCAAAACATCAAGTCAAAGCCTATTATGATAAGGATTAATTTTCTTCAATGTCTCCAATTTTTCGAAAAAGAATGATAACTTATGATACATCACTGAAAATGTAAAATTTGGTTCAATGCAAAACAGAAAGAAACCAATGTAACGCCCTTAAGAAAAAATAAAGTTGATTATGGTGGCTGGAAGACGAAACGTCGGATAGCAAATCTGAAAAAACCATTATGTAGAAAAAGTGGCAATGTGTAACTGCAATTTATTTTCGAATCCAGAAAAAAATAAATACCATTTTCCGAAATGTCTGTTTTTCCTGGTAGCTCCGAATTTACTCGGAATTTCAGAACTTTCTTAACGGCATATTGTTAGTCAGGTTAATGCGCAACTTTACCAAATTTAACCATCTTCGTATCTCTCATAGTTTCCGAGATCCCAATGGTGAGGATCGAATTTGAAACACCCTGCATTTCATTTTATATCTGATTTCCTTATGGGAAGTGCTTTCTTAAAATATGAAGTTCTACCCAGCGGTTCAAATGAGTCGTATAAAACAGACAAAACAAATTTCTATAAGATTTTTGTTCTTTCCAGAAGAATATTTTGAATGTTTTTTCATTGTTGAAAAGTAATTTAACTGAGATACAGGGAAACATGTTATTTTATAGATTCCACATTGTAATGCAATAAGGAATCTATTGAAATTTTTCAAAACTGTCGATCCTGAATAAACCCAGACACGTTCAAACTTCTCGTGATTGACATTACCAGTTCTTTCAAATCTTGTTTTTAGAGCCTGAAATGTTCTTCCATCTGATTGTCTTCTTTTGGGGAACTTTATAAATCCTAGATGCAAGGAAGCAGTTTCCGTCACTTTCCCCCAAAGCATAGATCATTATTTGTACCATATCTTCCAATAAATGATGAAAATGATTCAATCTACATGCGAAAGAAACTTCAACACATGGCGTTATTGACAAATTCCGAGATTAATTTTTTGATGTCAGTCATCATGGATAACTGGGTTTTGAAAGAAAAAAGCAGTATACATATTCTTTAGGTTTTTTACGCATTTCTTACCGTTGAAACCGCTGATAACTATCACTAGATGGTATAAAAAAATGCTAATGTACTAGCGATTAGTTTGAATATTCAAAAAACAAATTTGAGTAATTGAACATAAGAAAATGAATTTTTTTGTGGTTACAACAATTTCTAAAACTTGTATTTATGTATGTAGCAAAATGTTGAAACATTTCATACAAATGAAAAAATACAGGGTGTTCTATTTGAATAAGTTGAATTATATCTGTTTGAAAATGAATGAAACTTGACCGGTTTTACCGAGCACCCTATATATTGTTTCCGAAAGTTGAGATTCCAGAAATTATTATAGTGATATTGACTAACTATTTCTAAAAAAATCCACGGTGGTGAAATAAAAATATATTATCTGCAAAATAGGTTTTTTCTGAAATAACTTGGCAATGCCGCAATGGGAATTCAAAAACAAAAATTCCTTCTGGAGGTAAAATAATATGGAATGACGTATTCATATACTAGTTGGCCACGCTCGGATAAATCACCCAGTATGCGAGAAAATAATTTTGAAAGATAGTATGTATCGATATGACTGCAAAAAAATGAGCCGTTAGAAAAATTGTTTCCTGTGATGCAGTGGATTGAGGGAATCTTATTGACTCACCCTCTATGTATAATATTGTGTAGCGAGAAAAATGTATGTATGATTCAATGTTCATATAGAAGTAGTTGTTTCAAAGAAGCCTTTCAGTTTGTATATGAAAGTCAAGTCTATGCATGATCTACATATCTTCATGAGGCGTTTTTGAACTTAATTGCTTTTTTCCTTCCTTTGAATGTTTCCTACATTGTTTGTATGAAGAAAGAGAAATAGAAAGCCAAAAACCTTTTTTCCCAAAAACTTAAGAGTTAATATTATTTGGTGGGCATTTCCACTGCTATGAGCTTGTTTGTTAAAATTCATGTATATACCCCCAGGCTTTCGAACGGATCAAGCAAACAAATTTCGTACCTATTATTCTTATTATCCTTATTATCCTTCCTATACAATAGTCAACCAGCCTTGACATGTGTTTCATTTAATCTTCGATTTGATACAGGGGTAGATAATTGGTTAATGTAAGGGGTATGAGGGCGCTAATTTCAATGTGATTTTATTATTGGTGTGTTTTTATATTGGGCATGTACATTATAATATTGGACTTCCATACTTCTATGGGGGTGAAAATTGTGCATGTGCCGTTGAAATGAGGGTGTGAACTGAAACATTATGGTGAACTAATCCATTATGAGGCATTAAATTAGAATTCATAACAACACAAAATAGTAGTTAGCTGTACTATAATTATAATAATGATAGGTAATAAGCCAGTCGTCAGAAAAATGTAGTCATTATATGTGATATTAATGAATATCTTGGGATTTTGAAGTGATTATTAGGGGAATTGACATTACAATAATGTTTTACCTGAAAAAACTATTACCTGGAATGAAAAATCGGTTTGATTTACTGAAATTCGGAAATTCAAAAACTTTTATTTATGATTGGGTGATTGGTTACAATCTATTTTCAAATAGAAAAAAACACATTTCCTTTATGGTCGCTTACATGTCATAGGATGTTTCGAAATTCAGTTATTTGCCTCAACTTCTTGATGAATCGTTTCAGTGAAGTATGTCATTTGTGTTTTATGTCTGAATTGAAGGGGTTATATTTTTTAGGAGTGATTAATTTTTGGGAAAAAAAGTTTTTTGCTTTCTACTACATTTTGAGCCACTTTGCCATGACTAGTGATTTTTACAAACAATAATTTGTTATGAAAAACGACGTTTTTTATTGTTATTTGTGATTTTTTTTATTGAAAATTACATTCTTATTAGAATTTTTGCACTTTCTGTATAATGAATTTTTTTTTATTAATTTATCTTCGAAATCACAAGTAATCGCATTTTTAAAGACTAACTCACATATTTTTTCCAATAGAAACGCCATTTTTTTCCCTTAAATTCAACCCAACCTCCAAGTCCAACCCAGAAAGCCTAACCCAACAAGTCACCAACCTAACGTTGTCCAATTCAACCTCCAAGGATATCCTACAATCACTCCTGCAATCAATTCTTATCGTTTGTGCTTTTTTGAATGAAAATTACATTTTTATTAGAATTTTTGCACTTTCTGTGTAATGAAAAGTGTTTTTTATTAATTCATTTCGAAATCTTAAGTAATAGGATTTATAAAGACTAACTTACATATTTTTTCCAATGAAAACAATTTATTTTTTTTTAAATTCAACCCAACCTCCAAGTCCACCCCAAATAGCCTAACCCAACAAGGCAA